ATATATTTTCAATAAAGTATTTTAAGCTATAACAGTTAAAATATCATTTAATTTTCTCATTTGTTTGGCTATAATTAATGGAAACTTGAAACTGACAATTCTACACAAAAGATTTATGGAATTCTATGTTTTTTTTTTTTTAGCTAGCTATCACATTTTTTTGTATATCATGTCGAAAAATAGCACTACTACATGAAAATGACAGATAATAACGGGAAAAAGAAATCACTTGAAATATTGATAACTTAAACAGCTGAGTGTGTTCATTCGTAAAAGAAATGTGGACCTACATTATTTTTTAATCAATAGATATTTTTTTCCTATTTTAACTTGCGGATATTAGGAAAATTAAAAATTACATTACTAATAATTAATAATTATTATAATTGATAGAGGGACGCAAATGAACCGAATAATTTTTTTTTCGAGTCTCTTATTAAAATACTAGCTGTTACCCGCCCGCTCCGCTGGGCACTATAGAATTGAATTTTGAGATCTAGACTTGAAATTCAATTGAAGTATTGTTTTGACTTGCACAGATTCCAAATTCTATCGGATTGGCCTGTACCTTCTATCCATGTCATCATTCTAGCGAATATCCATTGTAACTTAGAATGTGCAATCACTATAACATTCCCGTGGCTTTCTCCAAAAATAAATAATAATTTTGGATTTACGATTTCAAGATTTGATTTTACGAAATCTCTTAAAATGAGTAGCCAAATTTCTTTTCCTCATCTCAAGTGTTTAGAAAATGTATTCATTTTAATCTGTTACATTCCCGCGATCCCGCAATAAGAACAATTCATCGGTTATGTGATCAGCAATAATAAAATGTATGCAAAATACTCAGTCCGTTGACTATATAGCTACATGTAAAGTTGAATTTTAGAAATCTTACAATGACTTTTTCGCCGCTGCCAAAGGGACGATTGTTGTAAGAAAATATAATTATCAATAAAAAAGGAAAATATTTTAATCCGTTGACCTTGGAGGCCATCCCTGTAATTACCTGTTTCTCTTGAAATTCTATGAAATTTTATATCTGTAGAAAATATATTTGAAGAATATGAATTTTTTTGACAACTATCACTCCCGCACTCCTATGTGAGAGAGAAATTTCGTAAGATCTTATTCGAGATGATTTTTAAAATATTCCAACAAAACTTCGAGCCCATGGAAACTATTGTTTTGAAAAGAGAGATTTTCATTGTTAACGCCTCCGCAGTCCTTTTCGGGGTTGGAATTTGATAAAATTCATTCTTAGCTGAACTTGACATACACGAAGACTCCCACCAAATTTGAAGTCTGTCGAAGTTACAGTTTGGAAATTAAAATTTTAGATTTTAACACCCACCCCCGCAATTTCTATCGGAAGTAAACTTTATTGAAATTCATTTTGAGATGATCTTTACAGGAGAAATAAAAGATTTCTACCAAATTTCGAGTTTTCAGAAGCTATATTTTGGAAATGAACATTTTTTATCGTCAACACCCACTCCCGCGATCCTTATTAGAGGTGATTCGTTGTAAAATCCGTTTTTAGATCATTTCTATATCACACATAGAATATTCCTACTAAATTTGAAGTCTATAGGAGCTATAGCTTGGAAATTAAAAATTTTAATTGTTAATACCCATCCCCGCAAAACCCTGTAAGGTGAGCTATCGTAAAATTCGTTCCTATATTATTTCTACATCTCTTACATAAAATTCCTACCCAATTTGGAGTCTATTGGAGCTATAGTTTGAAAACGGGAATTATTTATTATTAACGCCCCCGCAATCCTCTTTGGGGTAGGATATCGTAAAATTCATTTATAAATTATTTTTACATCACGTACAGAAATTTCATATAAAATTCCGAATCTGTAGGAGCTATAGCTTGAAAATTAAAAATTTTCATTATTAATACCCACCCCCGCAACCCCTTATGGGGGTGAGATATCGTAAAATTAGTTCATAGATTATTTCTACATCTCTTACAAAAGATTCCTACCAAATTTGGAGTCGATAGAAGGTATAGTTTAAAAATGGGAATTTTTCATTGTTAACGCCCCCGCAAACCCCTTTGGGGGAGAAATTTCCTAAAATCCGTTCTTAGCTGACCTCTACATGGTAAAAGTAATATCCCTGCCAAAAATTTCAAGTCTCTAGGTCTTATAGTTCCAGAGATATCGTGACGAGTGACTATCTATCTATATCTATAGAAAGTCTCCTATATATATATATATAGATTGTACTATTTAGTGTCAGAAACATAAATAATTTTAACATTCTTAGTTAAGCCAGATAATTTATAAAGAGATGCAAAAATTTGTGAATTTAAAAGCATCTAAATCTTTAAGGCGAAGGTGTGGAATAACTTTGGAATAGGATAACCTATTGAATCTCTGTAAATTTCATCTAAAAGCTCTTTAAATAAAATTTAAGTTGAGTACTATATCATATGTATGTTGTCTTAAAATTGAGTCCTATTCCGCTATGCCAAATATGAAATTTGTTGTTGCACTCGTTTTTATTCATAATGAAATCTACTTCCATTTCGGCTGCCGAATGGCAGTTTTTTAGTTATATTATAAACAAAAAAATGAACTTTCACTTTTTTATAAATTATTTAAATTTTACGCTACCAATTGAGCTTTCCTGAGTTGAAAAAATGAACTTAACTGCTATACTAAAACAATTGATTTAAATTCATGTAGTTTCATTTTTCCGACTCGGGTTAACTTGCAGAAATTAAAGTTCTCTAGAACTTTTTAGTATGCAACGAGAGCGGTTTCAATTAGACCATTTGCTTCAAAGAATATTCAAAAGTTGCACGCACACAGGCGCGCGCACCCTTCCATCTTAAAGCAATTAAACTTAGTTTCCTCAAATTTCACTTCTAGACCTTATGAAAATTCAATTTAGTAAAAATCGGATTAAAAATAGTAACTTGCCTAATTCTTGAAAATTGATATAAGTTCTATCCTTTTTTTTTTCATCAAGGTATTTTCTTATCTAGTGTGTTAAGTTAAAGAAAAAAACTTTATGGAAAACAAGTTGTTTTAGAAAAAAAATTGTCAAATAATGAAATTCTCATAGTAAAAAAAAAAAAAATAGTCGGTTTTTTTGCGCCACCCTACTGTTCATAAAGTCAATTCTTTCCAATTTCACTCAAATTCTTTTCAATGGATATTTTTAATCAGTGCTGTCCAAAAATCGGCTTGAAAATTTTTCCAGAGTCGCTCATGATTTTTTCAAACTTTTGAAATAGCGCACTTAAAATATTTTCGAGCAACTTCTAAATATGAATATCAACGAACTTTTAATTTTTTTTTTTTATCAAGTTGACATATCGAAGAAAAGAAATAAAGCACAAGATATGAATAAATAAACAAGTCAGATAAAAAATTATTATTACAGTATTTGAAATAACAAATATTTATGCAACTTGCTTGAAAGTTGAAAAAGTCTCAAGCAAGTTCCAGAAATAAAAATTTTGACTTGAAATTTTCAGGAGGTGCACCGCTATTAATTTAAAAGATAATAAAATAACGAGAGGCATAAGATTAAAAGGAAAAAAATTCAATTTTCGAGATTTTTAAAAATTTTAAGTGATCTAATATAAAATATGTTTTATCCAGCTGATCTTTGAAAAAGAGTCTTACAACACACTGAGAAAAAAAATTTATGTTGAAAAAAATGGACAGTGCTGTAATAAGAAAGTAATTTGTTGAAAATTTTAAACACTGTTCTTTTTCAGCTGAAGAAATGAAAATTTTTCTCACATTAACTTTCATGTTGAAAAAAAATTTTTTTGATTTGGAAAAAAACAATTTCAAATAAATAACTTGCAAATTTTCATCTAAAATTGTTTTTTCCTAAATTTAGAATACTTTTTTTCAACAAAAAAGTTACTTCGAGAATAGTATATTGTGTGATTAGGGGTGAAACAAAATGATTTTAGACCAAAGTGAAGCATCACTCGATCTGAAATCGTGTTTCATCCCGTGTCAAATATTATATTTTTTATATAAGTTGCATTAAAAATACTAGTTTTAATGTCTGAAGCCAACCAGAACTAGATATTTTTAGACGAATAGCGAAAATACCATTTTATTATTAAACTTATTAAGGAAATTAAAAACTAACAATTCAAGAAACGAATAGTTTATTTTTTATTAAACATTATTCATAAATTAAATAGTTTTATAATATGTCAGTACTATAGTTAGCGGTTATAAGGACAATTAAAAAGGTATAAAAACAACTGATAAGATTGAAAATAAAGCTGCCACTTCATCTCGCGGGCAGAAAATCATCAGATTCTGCCCTCAGGAAGAATAAGTTATATGAAAAAATTTTTATTTCTTCAGGTAAGAAATAAAATTTTCAATAAATTAATTTTTTATTACAACATTGCTCATTTTTTTAAAAAGAAATTTTTTTTCTCTCAGTGTATGATAAACTAAACACATTTTCATATGAAACTCGAAAAAAATAAACGATTTTTGTACGCTATTCTAACTTTGAATAATTAACTTTGACTGAAACAATCTGATGCGTTAATTAAACATAATACTTATAAGTGTTGATATTATAAAACTCGCCATGAAAATTAATAATATTCATGCAGCTCGTTTGTTCGTATTTTTACTCTTCCTGCATCCAAAATAATAATAATAATAATAATAAACATACAAAAAGATTTAATTATAATTATTATTATTATATCAACTAAAAATATGCTTCACATATGCATTATAATTGAAAATTTTGATGTATAAATCCATCAGAGGGAATTCGTAATAAGATTAAAATATGAACACATAATATTTTTCGGTGTGAAAATAATCCGCGTGGTGCTTTAATAATACATAATTTAATTAACGCATTCGCAAATTAAAAATATTACATTTCCATTTTCACTCAATTAAGCAGATAATTGTTATCGGGTTTCCACTTTAATTAATATGAACAATTGAATGTATTGAAAGAATATAATCTAAAAAAGTATGAATTTGATAAAGAAAACAAATATAGGGCAAGGTGATATCAAGCAAGATGGAACTAATGGTAAACTTTGGTTGAATGATTCAAAAGTCGTTGAGTAACCAAATAGTTTTAGAATGTAAATGTAAAGGATTCAGATATATAACTTGAGGTTCTCAGAGAACTTCTTTAGAATTTCTCATCCTCATCTTATCGGATCCTATCTTCTGGTCTCGTTCTTTCCATAAGTGTCACTCATTCACCCAGACAAATTTCAATCATTTAAAACCTCCGTTATTGATTTTTCATTATCATTTGGTTAAAAATTTACTGATTACTTTCTCCAAATTTGATAAAGCTCAAAGAAGAAATTAAAATCTAACTAAAAAGAACATAATTTAGTGACTAAAAAAATATCAATTTTTAATTTAAATTTTGCTTGGATATTTTTTAAAATAATGGAAGCCAATGTGTAAACAGCTGTCCCTTTACTGTTAGTATAACTGTCCGCAAATTTCGTGTACGTACAATTTTGCGGCTAGGGTAAATTCGTCAATTTGCATATTCCAAGCGCAAAGACAAGAGGTATATAACTGTAGATAGCATGTATGCCGTTTATAATGGAAAAAATCATCCATAGTTAAGATAATAAAAAAGTCTACCACATCAGGCAATATTATTTTTTTTTTTGAATTTATTTATTTATTTTCTTTTCAATTTCACCTTTCTTTGCTCACTCTCGTTCGCTTTTTTTTTTTTATTCCAACGCCAACGGCCGTCAATCGAGTTAGCCAATTTAACAGTTATGAACAGATTTACTCGAATGTAAAATTACGGTAATCATAGAGCTTAATTTTATTTTCCTCACAAAAAAAAATTAAACACTATTTTTTTTTTGTTACAAAAATTTCGTTCTTAATTTAAAGCTTGTCGATAATATATTTGATGTGTTTATACTACATATATATAATTTCGACAGCTGTCTTCAAATCGGATATGATTATATCTCTCAATCTCTTTTATATTTGTATGTTTTTTTTCGTCTCATATTTTTTCGCTATGTATAAGTTTACGTGACTATTTTTTTTTTTTATAAAATGTGTGACTGATTTTATTTTATTGACATTTATTTATTACTTTTTACAGTTTCTTGTGTCGATGATGAGCATAGACTCGCAAAATATCTTCTAGATAATTATGATGCTGGTGTCAGACCGGCTAAAAATTCAACACAACCGTTAGTAGTCATTTTTGGACTTTCTCTTCATCATATCATTGATGTGGTAAGACTATATATAATTATTATTTTTACATTAAATACAACTCTTCTCGATAAGGGTTGAATTTTTTCTTTCTTTTCTTGCTCAAAAAGCGAAAATAGGAAGAAAAAAAATGACACTGAAGTTAAAAGACGTGTAAAAATTTTTGATTTTTTTTATTAATTAAATTACAACTAAAAAGATATTTCTAAAAAATTGCACTTATAGTTTTTCAAGTTTTTTATATGTGACAATTTTTTTTATTAATTGTTTAATTGAAATTTTTTCAATAAAAAATTTCTAAAAATTTTGAAATGTCGGCTAACTTCCATTTTCATGAAAAAAACTTATAGAATTTAAAAAAAGCGAACTTAAAGAAAAATAAATTTTAATATTAATTAAAGTCCATCTTTGAATGCTTATAATATTTCACATGGTCTGAATTTCGAACAAGGATGTTTTGTTATATCTAAAGTGTCAAAATTTTCTTCCCATTTAATTTCTACTCTTGGTTGAATGACATGGGCAACTCTGAAGCTTACTACACAGCACCGTTTCTCATTTTGTAGACGAATTCGGGCAGAAGTTTATATCAGCTAGCAATTATAATATGGGCTGCTTATTCTATTCAACGAGAATTATATCATGCTGTTAGACACGTCTTTAAATAATTAGATGTAGGTTTTGCGCCTATTATGGGAAACTTGTATTCATGAGTAAGATTGTAGTCTTATCAGAGAGTGTTTTACGATCGAAAAATTTTTTTCGTCTTATTTCGGAAACTATTTATATTATTACGGCCTTGTTAGTTCACGTAATTAAGATATCTTGCAAACTATTGTCAAGATAATTTAATGGAGATTAATTCCATATTTTTCAAAAATTAATTTAGTGCAATAGAAGCGGAAAAAAAACATCTAAATAAGTTAAAAAATTTTCCGGTACGTCAAGTCCCGTGTAAAAAAAAAAAAATCTACTAAAAATTGTCCCAAGAGTAAACATCTAAACGTGACACAATGAGGGACATTTTTTTGACAGTTTTGGGACACCACATAAATAATCGGAAATTTTCAAATATTGCATTTTAAGAACTTTTTTGTGAATTTTAAATATTTTTTTTAAGATTTTCGGAACACTTTTAAGATAATTTAAGAATCAACACGTTTTATTTTAATCAATTTAGTTAAAATTTTGTCATTAAAATCCTATGAGGAAAATTTTTCCAAAAATTTGAGAACAAATTTTGGATAATTTTAGAACATTTTTTGGAAAATTTTGAAACATTTTTCGGAGAATTTTAAAATGTTTTGAAAACAAATTTGGAACATATTTAGAAAAATTTTGGAACTTTTATAGGACATTTTTGGAACGATTTTTAAATAATTTAAGAAGTGCCAATTTATATTTGCATAGCTGTAGATTTGTTCCCAAAATCGTCCTAAAAATGTCCAAAAAATGTTCCATCCATTAATTTTTGGGACAATTTTTTTTTACACGGGGTATGAAACCCGTAAACACTGTACCTTGCCAAAAAATCCATTAATTGAGACGGTTTTTTTTTTTTTTATTCTTTGAAGGAATTGTAGGTTTCCTATCGCAAATAGCTATGTAACCTAGTGTCGTTTAATTGCAATTAATAAAATAAGAAAATCAAAAGACTGTATATTTATATATTATGTACATTTATCTTACTGGAGGCGCCTGTACATTATCGTCCTATTACAACTGTTGAAGATTTTTTATTTTATTAAAATTTTATAATTAAATGAACATTATGAGTCGTGCACTTTTGGATTGTCCAAACTTATTTTTTTTTTTTTTTTTTTTTTTTTTTTACAAAGCTATGAAAAATTCAATAGTATCGCTAGAAATACTCCGGCTGATTAATTGTAATATTTAAAAACTTGGATTCATAAAAAGTCGACTTTTTTTCATCCGACATATATAACACAAATTATATTGTGATATCCCCTAAGATATTTCATTAAGAACTATTCATAGATTTTAGAATATTCTGGTTCAATGTTAGATTGAAATCCATTGTTGCGAATTTTTCTCAATGTCAACGTGAGTACTTTGACACTAGGCCATTTTTTAAGAAACATTCTAAAATAATTATTTCAATTGTAAATTTACTATATTTACAATTATTGTTGGCTGTCTGGCCCAGAACACTTGCAAATTGCACTAATATTTATAATAATTTTTTTGCCGGAGCCTTCCGCGCATAAACAATTATTTTTTTATTCGTAGAATTTGTCATTAGAGATAATTTCAACTGAAAAAATAATTCGGACGGCCCAGACCAGGACTCGAACCTGGATCTTTTGGTATCGCCAACAATAATTGTAAATATAGTAAATTTACAATTGAAATAAATATACAAACAACCAACTGGTCAGATAAAAACAAAATACTGTAAAATTCTAAAATAATTTTTTACGCAATTTTAATTAATTCAATTATTGATATTTTCTCTTACGGAAAAATAACATTGAAATGTGAAAATTTTCTTAGTGAACTCTTTAATAGAATTTATTTGAATTTCAAATAGGTAATTATTAGTCCGTTTATTAATTTATTGTATTTTCAGGACGAAAAGAATCAAATTTTAACAACAAATTGTTGGGTAACTCAGACTTGGACAGATTATCATTTGCAATGGAATACATCAGAATTTGCAGGAATACAAGTGATTCGGGTTCCTTACAATCGTGTTTGGAGACCTGACATTATTCTTTACAATAAGTTAACCAGTTGGTTTTATTAGCAAAAATACTAAATAATTGCTTATTTTATATTGTATTTTAATTACAGTGCGGATCCTCAATATAGCTCAGCGGTTATAAATACAAATGTTATAATAAGTCATACAGGACAAGTTGTATGGTTGAGTCATGGAATTTTTCGAAGTAGCTGTAACATTGACGTAGAATTTTTCCCCTTTGACGAACAGAAATGTCTTTTAAAATGGGCATCTTGGACTTACGATGGTTATCAGGTTTTTACATTAATTTGTTTATCCGATTTTATATAAATAAAGTGATAGTAAATAAATTAGAATTTTTTCATCAATTTAGTGGAAAACGTAAAATAGACGAAATCAATGCACTGGGTGAATAAGTTTAAATAGGATTAATTTGAATGTCTATTTTCATTTCTTTTATTCGATTTAATTACTTTTTTTTTATCTGATTTCGATTTCAAAGCTTTGAGTATATATTTTCATGAAACTCTATTTAATATAATTGAGACTTATTTATTCACACTTTTAGTGACTAGATATTTACTACGCAACGTTAGGCAGCCAAAAACATATATTTTAGTCATCTCTTTTTTTAAAAAAAAATTAATTTTTGTTTATTTAGTAATAAAAAAAACTTACTATTCTTTTTTAAAAAAAAAATTAGTGTTAAAAAAAAACATTCCACGAGATTATGATTTTCTTGTTTAATTAAAAATAATTACATAAAAAATGTCGTGTTTATCCTTAAAAAATCATTAATTAATAAATCAAGTGTCTAACTTTTCTAAAATTAGTTTTCATAGAAAAATATTACGTATCAATTTTCAAGTAATCAAGTACTAATCAAGAAAAAAATGCATCTAAAATTTTTTTTAAATTAACAACCAGAAATAAATATTATTAATTTTATTCTATTTTTAACTTCCTGTTATGAAAATCAATTATTTAAAAAAAGTTGATAAGTTATTGCTTTCACCTAAATTTTCGAAAATCGAGTTCTCATCAGATCTCCTCGTTTTGAGGTCCTAGGAAGCTAGCTATTGTAACTATTCTTACGAGGATTTTCCTCCGTATGTATGTAAACTTCTTATAACTTTTAAACGGCTTAACTAATCAAAATAGGGTTCAAGGCAATCGGAAGAATTTAAGTCAATTCAGCTCGGTAGATTTTGAGAAATCTCAAAAATAAAATTTTCAAAAAAAAAGTTTTATTGGAATAACTTTTGAACCATTTTATCGATCGATTAAAAAATCTAATCAGCTCTTAAGCTTAAAAAACAACGTCGATTGTCGAAAACCGTATGGAAATCAGTCGATTCGTTCAAGAGATATCGATGTTAAAAAATTTGGAAAAAAGTGTTTTTTTTTTTTATAACTCCAAAACTTCTGTTCAAATCTTTTCGACGTTATCAAATAAGTATAAAATTACTTTTAAATTATATTGTTTTTGTCAACAAAAATACTATTTTTCCGAAAACTAAAACCATGCAAAAAATGAAACTTTTTTATTATTAGTCAATCAGATTGACTCAATCTCGAAAGATTGAAAATTGCCAGCTATTTTTCCATGCATAACAATGTGAGCAAAAAATGTCAAACATTGTTGAATAAAAGAACAAGTCTGTATGTTGAATATTCGTAATCAAAATTTCGCTGTTTCATGTTTTTGATATCAAATTACTGAATATTCTATAAAACGATGGAAAAAAAATTTTTTCCAACCCGGACAAAAAAATTTAGACCTATTCTAATAAAATTGAATAAAGCCAAATCAAGTTATATCAAAATTTAGATATTTAGTCGAAATGGATATGTCTGAGTTAATATGTTTAGTTGAACCATACCTATAAACAAAAACGCGCTATGAGAATTTTTCTCACACAATAATATTGAGTTTACAGAATATACTGCTGTAGTGCAAGTGAAATACTGAACAATATTCGAGCGTTGACAGGTCAATCTAAAATTTAAATGGTTATTTAATAAGCATAGAATTTATGTTAAAATAACTATTGCCATTTTAATATTAAAAAAGCTTGAAAAAATATTCATTGACGACTCATCAATGATGAGCATTCAAAATGAGCATATAAAAAAAAATTGTGTTTTTTCTGAACTTTAAATTATTCTAGGTCGAAAACGGTATTTTTTATTTATGTACTAAAGAATTAAGAAATCATAATATTTATTTCTAAAGAAACGCCCCCGGCAATTTACAAGAATATTTACATTTTCATGTGTAGAATGTTTAGTAATGTATGTATACAATAAATAGCATCTAATTTATTATCACTATTTATTGAAATTACTTATTGACGTTAAAATTTTTAATTAAAAGAAGTTAGCTATTCTGTCTAAATAAATATCAAAGTTAAAAATTTTAAACAGAATTTTTAATTAAAAGTCATCAAAGATACAAACAGCCATACAATTATTCCGATCGGTTGGCGCTGATGAATTTATTCAAATTTTTGAATTTATTTGAATTTATTCGATGTAACTGAATGGTACAAACAACAAAATAATTTTAATTTCAAATTTAAAAAATTTTGAGGTACATATGTATTTTCTTTTTTATTTAATTTAAAATAGGTATGTGATTTGAGCATATCTGAACTTTTTTCCCAAGAGTACCAAAAGTAATGCATAATATAGTAGTAATATCATGAAAAAACTTGCAACTTATGTTTTAAAAGTAGTATTCGAGTTTTGAAAGTAGCCTTTGGTACTAACTAGTAAATAATAATAGAAAAAAACAGAAAAATGGTTGACCCTGTAGGCTATCATCTGTGGAACTTTCCGCTACAGTCGAGTTAACAATACTCGAAAATTTTATATATTACAAAGCTTCGAATTCTATAATAAAACTTTTATATATTTTCGAGCTCTATTAATTCGAAAATCAATTAATTGCATTGGTAAAGCATTTATATTTTAAATTTTGAATTGCAACATCTAACGAACATATCAACTGATTTTGATGCAGTATGTAGCATTCAATGCGTTTTTTTAAGCACAAAACGATAAAATTCTATACTTAAAAATAATCTGATGTAAAATTTCGGAATATTGTAAAAAATCGCTTTTTGGAATTTTTTAGGAGATATCTCTTGAACGGATAACTCGATTTTGATGCAGTTTGCAGTAATCGAAATTTAGAATTTGTTTACAGGATATATTATTTAGACCCCAAATTGTTTTTTAATGATTTATTTTATTTTTGTACAACATCTCGTTCTTTTCAGATTTTTATTGTTCAGAACAATTTGTTTGTGCAATTTTTATTGATTTTTTTACTTTATAATTTTCATATGTGCAATATGAACAATTTTATTTGTATAATATCATGAGTTTACTTAAATTTAAATGTCAAATTAAATTTACTGTGCTCATTTTTTTTAACAATTTTAAAAAATTAACAATATATATTGTTAGTTAAAATTTAAATCTCCGTTGATTTCTGTTACAGTACTTGAAAAAGTTCTGTAAAAATGTAACGTACAAAAATGAAATAAATCATTAAATAACAACTTAGAGTCTAAATATATTCCGTAAACAAATTCTAAGTTTAAAATAATGGACATGAATCGATATAATTATCTTAAGTAATTAAAACCGTTTTTTAAAGGCCAAGAACTAATTACTTTTTTAAAATGATCGATATACTATTTTTAAAATTATCTTAAAAAAATCTTTTTTTCGAAGGAAAAACGAACCGTCGTTTTCCAGTGGCTCTTTCAAGAAATTTTTATAAGGAAGACCCTCAAAACGTGGTCTGATGAAAACTCGGTTTTCGAAAATTGAAATGAAGCTAATAGTTTTCTAATTTTTTAAATTCATTGATTTTCATAGCAGGAATTTGAAAATTATATTAAATTAAAAACGCTGTCATATGTTAAGATTTTACTAATAATAAATTTTTTTTTTCTGTAGGTAGAGTTAGAAAGCCAAAGTGAACAAGGTGACATTAGCAATTATCAAGCTAATGGAGAATTTGATCTAGTAAATTTCACAGCTCAACGAAATATAGAATTTTATTCCTGTTGTCCAGAACCATATCCAGATATTACATATGCAATACGTTTAAGACGTCGACCTATGTTTTATGTATTCAATCTCATCTTACCATGTATATTGATAAATGGAATCGGTAACTTTATTATTAATATGATAAATTCAAAAATCATTAGCATACAGGGACGGAACTGGCGAGTAGTGGGAATAATTAATTTATTTGAAATACACTGAGAGAAAAAATTTCCTTTAAAAAAAATAGGCATTGTAGAGATAAGAAATTAATTTGTTGAAAGTCTTAAACAATTTTATTTCTTAGCTGAAGATATCAAAAATTTTTTGATTTGGAAAAAAACAATTTCAGATAAACAACTTGCATATTTTCAGCTAAAATTGTTTTTTCCCCAATCTAAAAAACTTTTTCTATACAACCCGTAAAAAAAAATTGTCCCAAAAATGTCCCAAAATTGTCCCAAGCTTGGGACACCCAAACGTGACACAATTTGGGACATTTTTGGGACAATTTTGGGACATTTTAAAAATAAACAGAAATTTTAAAATTGTGCATTTAAGTAATTTTTCTTCAATTTTATGTATTTTTTTAAAAGATTTTTAGAATACTTTCCCAAATTTATGACACTTTTACAACAATTTTATACTTTTATTAAATGATTTAAGGAGAAATATTTTATTTTTGCACAGCTGTAAATTTGTCTAGAAATTTATAGATAAAAAAAAACATCGACCATTTTAGGGACAATTTTAGGAAATTTTTAGGACATTTTTGGGACATTTTCGGAACATTATTCGGACATTTAAAAAATATTTTTAGAACTTTTTTTAAATATTTTTAAGACGATTTTGAACGTTTTTCAAATGATTTTAAGATGTCGTTTTTTGCACGGTTGAAGATGCATTCTGAAATTAATGAACAAAAAATAATGGATAAAAAATTTTAGGACTATTTTGGGACATTTTTGGAACAACTTTAGGACATTTTTGGGATAATTTTAGGACATTTTTGGAACATTCTCAAAATATTTTTATGACATTTTTTAAATGTTTTGAGAACAATTTTAAACGTTCAAATAATTTTAAAAGGTGTTTTTTGCACGGTTGAAGATGCATTCTGAAATTAATGAACAAAAAATTAATGGATAAAAAATTTTAGGACAATTTTGGGACAACTCTAGGACATTTTTGGGACAATTTTAGAACATTTTTGGAACATTCTCAAAATATTTTTACGACATTTTTTTAATGTTTTAAGAACAATTTCAAACGTTTTTCAAATAATTTTAAGTTTTTTGCACGGTTGAAGATGCATTTTTTAAAAAAAAAAAAAAAAAAAAAAAAAAAA